CGGAGGTAGTGCATAGTACTACGTATTTCTTATCTAAGATTCAACTTTTGAAGGGTGGGTTTCACATGACATTTTCCAATGTTATGGAATTATCCGGGAGTGCATCGGTGCCCCTTTCGTAAAATTGACGGTTCTTACCCCCCTAACTCCCCCGGTAAACCTTCTCACCCCACCCCCGACCCGAACACACCCCTACCCCCGTCAGTTACACCCCACAAGTTGATTTTGACTTTGGAGTCAAATTTTGACTCCAAAGTCAAAATCAACTTGTGGGGTGTAATTGAAAGGGGTGAGGGGATGTGTTCGGGTCGGGGTGTGGTGCGAGGGTTTACCCGGCGAGTTAGGGAGGTAGAAACCGTCAATTTTACGAATGGAGTATCGGAGCGCCTCCGGGTCTTCTCATGACATTGCCGGGCAATGTCATGGAAACCTTGGTAACTTTCTAAACATGTACCTGGGTATAAGAAATATTCTCCCGGTCCCTTTAAATATGAGATGTTTTGATTTTGAAGAGATTTAAGGAAAGTATATTTTGGTATTGAATTTCTAAAAAAATGTCCTTTGATGTGATGAGTAAAAGTAGGATTTGATGGGTAGATTATTAATAAAAAGATATGATGTGATAGGTAGGGTATATGAAAAAATAAAGAGTAAAAATGATTTTTTAATACAAAGGAGAAATTTTTTTAAGGCGAAATAAAAAAGAACAAAAAGATTTCTAGGAACGGAGGGAGTATGTGATAGAAAAAGGGCACGATGCAATTTAATTAGGTTAAAATTTGGTGTGCCCTAAACATGTTAGAAATGTTTGGTGGAAAACGTGGTGGTGTGCAAAATAAGGTACAAAGTACGTAGTGTACCTCAAAGATTTTTTAAGAAAAAAAATTGGTCAAGTCCTTAGACTCCTTAGAGCATTGATGGGGATGATACTAGTAGAGTATCCAATACTACAAAATACAAATGACATGGGAGGTGGTAAGGTAGGGGTTTGGAGTTGTGTCCCCAAGAACTTTTTAAGACACTTTTGAATTATAAAAAAAGCACTCCTTCGGTCACATAAAGATATAGATAGTTTAACTAAAGTAGTAAAATAATGAGGGATAATTTTGTGTTGACTTTCCAAAAATATTCTTGATGTGATGAGTAAAAGTAGGATATGATGTGTAAATTATTAAGAAAAAGGTATAATGTGATGGATAGGATACGAAAAAATAAAGGGTAAAAAGAGTTTTTAAATAGAAATCAGAATGACTGACAGGAATGATTATATGGGAAGGAGGGAGTGTAATTTTTATATTCAGTTTTAACTTTTTTCGATCAACTGCTTTTAATACTTGACTTATAATTAAATAAATTGTATATTATATATTAATAAAATAAATTTTTAATTAGCTCTAGGATTGCGAATGACTAGGAGCAGTATAGTAAGGCGGGGGTCTGGGGCAGCGACCCTAAAATGTTTTTAAGGTACTTTTAAATTATGATAAAAAAATTAAATTTTATATAGAACGAATTTAAAAAAGGTAAAAAAAAATATTTCAAAAGTAGTAAAATATATTATTGAATAGATTACCTTGTACGAAGTATATTCAATGTCACTACAGTATTACAAATACAAGTATTTTATTTAATGGGCTGGTCAATGGTCATTGTGGAAAATTTTTATTTTTTGAGAGTAGGTATACATGAAAATAAACTAAAAAAATTTTTAAATTTTATTTTACTGGGGGCAACTGCCCCATATATACTAAGGTGAATTTGCCCATGCTCGTTACATATGTACGAGAAATATTATGCAACCGGTTAAACTTTATATATACAAGGTAGATCTCCACATGAGTGTAAGTTTTAGTAAATAAATAAAGCTACAAAGTAGTCCCAATAATTTTAGGATGATTGATAAAAGGTGGTGTATATTTTATATGTGCTACAGCCCCCCACAATGGCCACAAAGTATAATGGTTATACTAAAAATAAAAAAAATAAATTTCCAATATGATTCTTTATATTAAGATATTTATTCTCAATTCAAATCTTAATAATTTTTAATTACTTTCATCTAGTCTGACGATTCCTTTCTAAATTTTTTAAAGTCTCATCTAGTATCATTCATTCTAATTGATCAGAATCAATCACTAAAGCTATCCTTAATCATTATGATGATCATTTATACTTCCTCCGTTCCACTATATTCGTCCACTTTTTACTTTTGGAACTGTTCATCTAAGTACTTTGGCTCATCAAATTCTTTCAATGTTAAGCCTAAATATAGTCATGTGTGATCTTGTTTGATTTGTCTTAACATATAGATTATTAATATATAATTTCTATGATTTTTTAATATACAAATTACAAGATAAAATGAATTAAAGATGTGTATTGAATGATGTACAAAAATGAAAGTGGACAAATACTCTAGGACGGAGGTAGTATACGTATTTAATAATCCATTAACGTACGACACACAAAATAACTTTGACTCTAGATTTATCCACCTAATGGAAGATGGAACAAATAAAAATAAATTAGTTAAATAATGCATTAAAAATGTAGAAGGAGACACTTGCACACGATAATCAATCATTGGAAAATGAATGTTATCTTACAAAAATGAAAACATTTGTAGATATATAATGTCAATTGTGATAGAAATTTAGATCAGATGTCATATTAACAAAATGACAGTGTCACGAAGTGTCACCGTACTCCGGTGTCACTAGAATCTCACCGAACGGCAAAGTTCTGTTAACACTAGTATCTAGTGTCAATATATAACACTCGCTCAGTTGGAGCACTCTCGATGCTTCTTTCGAAAACTCGATGATTTCTACTCTTATAATAATAATAATAATAATAATAATAATAATAATAATAATAATAATAATAATAATAATAATAATAATAATAATAATAATAATAATAATAATATTATTATTATTATTATTATTATTATTATTATTATTATTATTATTATTATTATTATTTTGAGAAAGGACTTTGTATGGGGTTGTTCTCTTATTGGAGAAGATAAGAATTACGCGGTATTACATGCATCCATCTAGACGCAATCAATATGGACCGGCTTCAGCAGGTTGGGTTGACAATGGGCCAAAGCTCGTCCATTTATTTTTTTGGGAAATTCATCTCCTTTTTCAATAAAATAATTCAAAGCTTTCAATTTTTTTACTTCCTTCTTTCTTAAAAACTTTTCCGTTTTATTCTTTTTATCAAACAATAATACTCTTTGATACGGAGTAATAAATTATGAGAAAAAATATTTAAGTATAATATAAATTCAATATAATTGCATTCTTCTTTGGATATAGTTTGCTATATCATATATTTATTTAGATTATGTTAAATTATGGTAAATTATTTTTAGACCAGAGAGCGTACAAAATTAGTTTGCAACTGCAATTAAATTATTTCTTTACCCAAAATGACTGTAAATATGTAAATAAGCAGTTTGGAGCTTTTCTTCAAAATCTTGAGATTCTAAATAAAAAATTTGCCCCAACACTAACTACTCGATCTCGCTGTTTAATGTGACAATTGACCTTGTATGTTGGTCGGTTATAGTGTTCTTTGATGTTAAAATGGGGTAGACTCTCGCCCTACCACATTAGCACTCCATTAGTTTTTAGCTCCGCTCGAAAACACCTGCAAAGCCATTATCTTCTCGCCTTGCCTCTCCATTTTTTTACATTATTCATAATTCTTATTTAATTTTTTCACCATAGTTCTCGTGACATTGCTTCTCATGGCATGACTTGGGTACTTTACAGTGCCTTGTATTGAAAGTCTTTCTGACAAATGGTGGTCGGGGGGCATATCTCGTTTGGTGTTAACATCTGTACAAGATGACTTGACAAATCAAATGGTGGTATGCGGTATTCCTTGTGTCAAAAGTCGATCTTTTCGACAGAAGAAGGTCGGGCGGCGTGTCTTGTAGGTGTGTAGCGGCGATGCAAGATGGTGGCAAATCAAATGGACAATGGCTAAAGGAGAGGTCAAGAGTTGTGTGGCTGTTAGTTTGAGGAGATGTTTGTCGTGTAGCAAACTCCTCCCACACCGGAAGAAGAGGAGAAAGGTGACGAAAGTATATTGGTTACTCAAACTAATGCGGGGTTGGGCTAAGGGCACACACGGTCCCAACACTTTAATGGTTTACTCCATACTTTTCGAACTAATCTTTTGCGGGGAATTTATTTAAATAGTTCTAAAACATAGTTATTTTTCTAATATAGTACCATATATTTTTATTTTCCAGTATAGTATCATTGTTAAGTGTCCAGTGATCATTACTCAAGTAAATGTCCACCGCTATTAGACATTGTTCAAATTAAATGTCCAACATCACTGGACATTGTTCCCGCTACGAGATATTATTTAATATTATTTAGAAAATAAAAAATTTTTAATACTATATTAGAAAAAGATATATCTTTTAGTACTAATTAGTACAAATTTCACATCTTATTTTCCATTCTTGAAATGTTCTAGAAAAGCTTCATGTTTCTTTAAAAAGTGTTTGTGGTTTATCATTTTTTTTCTTCATGTTTTTTTTTGAAAAGTGTTTGTGGTTTATCATTTTTTTCCCTCTGCATTAATTTAAATCCACCCATTTTAATTTCTTTAAAATATGTGTCAAACCGAGGGAGGGAGAGAATAATGAAGTGACATTTTTGTTTAAAAAGAAAATACGGGAGAGAATAAAATGTGAACCAAAAAACGAGACGTCCGTGATGATGGGCCCCATCTCCCGTATTCCCCCACCCACGCGCCTCCGTCCCCCATCACTCTCTCTCTCTCTCTCTCTTCCTCTCCTCTTTTTCCTTTTCTCTCTCTAAAACTTGTTCTCCTTTTCTCTCTCTACTTTCTCTCTCTTCTGGTCTGCACTATAAAAGCCTCTTCCATCTCGCTCCCTCTCCACCTCTCAACTGCTTTTTCTCTCTCTTGTGTACGAATTCAAAAAGAAATATTAATAATAATAATACGGCGATTTAGATTTGATCTTCTTGTTTGTTTCCCCTTGTTCTGTAATGGAAGATCCTATTTGCAAGAAGCGAGTTCGCGATGACTCGGACGAGTTCGGCGACGGATCTCCCGAGGTAAAGCGCATCCGGGAAGACCTTCTGGATGACCTTGATTTATTCGACCTCTGCACGGCGGAGAATCAGGATCTGGAGTCGTTCATGAAGAGCTTCGAGGAGGAAATATCGCCGTCTCCGTCGCAGGCGGCGGCGGCGGAGACGGTCATTGATTTGACGTCGGAATCCGGCGATTCTCGGCCGGATCTCGGTTTCCTGCTGTGTGCTTCAGACGACGAGCTCGGCCTCCCGCCAGCTGGCGCGCAGGAATCGGAGAACTCGGAGCTTATCCGCGTTTCCTCCGACTCGGCGGAACTGGCCGGCGGTTTTTGGGACGTGGACGGACAGATACCGAGTCTTGACTCGTTCGCATTCGTCGACTCGGGAAGTGATTACGACGCGCTGGATGGATTATTTAATTCGGATCTTTCTTTCGGGTCGGGTGATAGTGTTTTGAGACCTGAAACCTTGCCGGCCGATTAAAAAGATTTAGATCTAGGTTGTAGTAATTGTAAATCTAAAGGAGTATCGAGTATTTCATTATTTTTTTTGGAAAGCATTTCTTTAATTATTATTTTTACTCATATTTAATTTAATTTATTATATCATCCGAACAGAGTTAAGGCAATAGTTTTTTCAGAAGATTTATAATTTCAAAATATAAAATAAAAATGTATTGTGAAGCATTCAAAAAAAAATGTATTGTGAAATATTAATATATAATGTAAAGTAAGAATGATTTGTAAAATACTCGTAATATTTTTATTTAAGACATCCCTAGTTTGGAAGATTCGATGACCTTGTGAAATTTACCATAAATATTATTGTCTGAGTATCTTCATTTATTAATTAAATTTTTTATCTAGAATTTCTATAAATTTATTTAAAATTTGAATATCTAGAATTTATATAAATTCATATTTAGAAGAATCAAATTAAATTAGAAAAAAAAATTACAAATAAGATGTGATGAATAGTTTATTAGTGAAAAAGTATGATATCATTTGGTAAGGTATGAAAAATTAGGGAGAAAATATATATTTTTCACAAAAAGTAAAAGTGTCTTAGATAAGATAAAAAAATGAAAAGAGAGGTGTTTCAAAAACGGAAGGATATAAATTAATACAACTGAAATAAAACTAAAATTTTAAATAAAACTTATCTTTAAGAGATAGAAAAAATGAATAATTAAATAATAAAAAGTAATTGATAAATATAATAATTTAGTGATTACATTAATTAATTATTTACTACAATATACTCCCTCCGTCCCACTCTCTTTGTCCATTTACCTTTTGGCACACCAACCAATGCGCTTCTTTAATCCATTTTATCTTGTAATTTGTATATTAAAAAATTATAGAAATTATATATTAGTAATCTACTCCCTCCGTCCCAGAGTATTTGTCCATTTTCATTTTTACACACTATCCAATGCACTTCTTTAATCCATTTTATCTTGTAATTTGCATATTAAAAAATTATAAAAATCTATACTTTATTTAAAAAGAGGTGAATTCTTTGACCAGTTTTTCCGCCTATGGATGTGTTGACTTTTTATTATATATGAAGAGGTTTAGATATATTTTAGGGAAGAATATAATGCTTTATACGGAATTTAATAAATAAATATAAACATAAATATTATTATTAATCATGGTCAAATTTCTACGGGCAGTCTAGATTTATTTTTGGAAATCTTTTTATATATGGGCTTTAATAAATAAATATAAATACTTTCTATATATTAATCATTTTCAAAGTTTCTAGGGGTTGGTCTAGATTTATTTTAGGAAAAAATTTTATATATGGACTTTAATAAAGATGTGTTAAACCTTTTTATTATATATGGAGAGGTCTAGACTTATTTTAAAAAAATTTGTTATATGTGGACTTTATAATTTAATTAATAAATAAATATAAATATTATTATTAATCGCGGTTGAAATTTATAGGCGTTCTCTAGATATATTTTAGGAAAGTTTATTATATATGGGCTTTAATAAATAAATATAAATATTTTTATTAGTCAATGTCAAAGTTTCTAGAAATGGTTAGATTTATTTTAGGAAAAGTTGTTACATATGAATTTTAGTAACTAAATTAATAAATATAAATATTTTTATCAATCACACTCAAAGGTTCTAGGAGGGAAATGCATAATATTATTAGGATTTTTTTCATCATAGATATGCTTTTTATTGTATATGGAGAGGTCTAGATTTATCTTAGGAAATTTTGTTATAAATGGATTTTTTAATATAAAGAGCTTATTATATATTGAGATTAACACCATCATCATTTAATTATAGCGGGTGGTCTAAATTTATTTTAGGAAAAATTTGTTACATGTGGACTTTAATAAATAAATAAATAATTATAAATATTTTTATTTATAATGATTAAAGGTTTTAGCGGTTGTCTGGATTTATTTTAAGAAAATATGTTGTATATAGACTCTTATAATTAAATAAATATAAATACTTTTATTAATCCCGGTCAAAGTTTCTAGGGATGATCTAGATTTATTATAATAAAATATGTTATATATGAATTTTAATTAATAAATAAATATAAATATTTTTATTAGTCACGGTCAAGAATTCTAGAAGGGAAATGAATAATATTATATAATGAGCTTATTATGTGGGATGTTTCGTTGTGTAGGTCCTTATTGACTTTTTTCTCAAACTTTTACCTCCACTGGCCTTTTTTTTTAAATGACATTCTTATCTCACTTTGAGGTGTCTTTTCTTTAGTATATATTTCTATAAATAGTTTAGTAAATAGCCTTGCAATAGGGTTTATTTTTGGAAAATATTCAGAAATAAATATTCAACATATTTAATTTTTATATAAATGTAAATAAATCAACGAGTAGAAATTAATTATTAGTATAAAAATATCATTTAAAAATGGCAAGAAGTAAATATTCAACATAGTATATTTTAGTATAAATTTTAGTATAAATGAAAATAAATCAACGGATGAAATATATATTTTATTATAAAAACACTCATCAATATTAGTAGTACATATTCCACTATGATAGAGATAAAATTTTCATATTCAATCCTTTACTGAACTTTATATTATATTACTCCGTATATATTAATTTTTATTCTTCAATAATGATCCGAATATAATTTAATAATATAAATGGAGCCGTGCAATGCACGGGTGTGATACTAGTTATATATTAATAATCTATATGTTAAGACAAATCAAACAAGATCACACCTGACTATATTTAGGCTTACACATTCAAATAATTTGATGAGTCAAAGTGCTTAGATGAACAGTTCCAAAAGTCAAAAGTGGACAAATAAAGCAGGACGGAGGGAGTATATGTTAAGACAATTCAAACAAGATCACACATGACTATATTTAGGCTTACACATTGAGAGAATTTGATGAGTCAAAGTGCTTAGATGAACAGTTCCAAAAGTCAAAAGTGGACAAAGAGAGTGAGACGGAGGTAGTAATTGATAAATAAGAATTATTTAGTGGGTGGGGCCATAATGGAGATGCTCTAATGCACACAATAAAATTATACTTCTTCTATCTTTCAAATTAATTAATTAATTGTAGATGTAAAATTTAAAAATAAATTTGTATAATTTTTTATGTGAAATGAAGTAAAATTTAATGTTTTTTTCAATTAATTTTATTTAAAAATTGCTATACAAGGGCAATGATAAGGGTACACCAACATGGGGTATCCCAGTATACCAAGCCAACACAGACACAAAATGTCTGTGAAACACAGATATTTTGTGTCTGTGTGTGTCTGTGTTTGTTTGGTGTACATATGGAGTACCCCATGTTGGTGTACCTCTAGGTTAATTCTTAGTAAAAATATCTCCAATTGAAAATAAGTAAAAACATATCTCGTGGAGACCTCGTGTCGTTGGTCACTTTCACGAACTATATGACAATCAACATCATCATGCTTCATACGTTCATGGAACACCGGATTAGCAGCAATATACAAGGCTGACTGGTTATTACAATGTAATCTCGGAGGATATAAAATAGGAGCACTCAACGCATATCCGATCATATCTCATTAGATCAGATTCAATCAGATCAAATCAAAACTACAAAAAATTAGATCAGATCAGAAAAAATAAGTTGAACGAAATGGAACATAAGAGCATCTAGAACGACCTATTCATAATAAAATACGCCCTCCCTCCTAATAAAATATTTCACTCATACTTTTTTGACGTCTCAAAAAATGCTAATACTTTTAGTTAAAATATCTTTTTCACCCTTACTAATTTGTAAAAACTTTGGAGTCACATCATTCGATTCACAATATATCTCGTGTATTTATTGAAAACGAATTACAAGCAGAATTTTTTTCTCCATTATTTAAAGGCCTCATTTGACATCAACGTTAGAGGTTAGCGTTGATGTTTTGAAAAAGTTTCCGTCGGCAGCCTTTAGCATTATTATTATTGTTTTCAGAAATTTTCTATATCATTAAAAATTTTTCCAAAACAGTACTGCTAATCGAAAACGATGTTTCCAAACAAAATATAAATCATTGAAATGGAACGGTGAGATCTCTAACCAGATCGAAGGGGGAATTTATTTGTCTATTTTCTTCTGATTTAAAAAAGAATAAGCATAAAGAAAAAAGGAAACAAAAAAAGAATCTAATACTTCTCCTTATCCATTAAAAGAAAAAAAGAAATGCCCCGCCCCTCAGGGACAATATTCTATTGTTATCATTTACTCCCTCTGTCCCATTTTAAATTGCATGTTTGCCTTTTTTTTCCGTTCCAAAATAAGTTGTCTGTTACTTGTTTTCGTAAACTTTTAAGAGTAAAATACCTAAACTACCCCTAAAATTAGTCACTCTTCAACACCTTATCTTCATATTCATCGTCAACCCTTCTAAAAAATAATGACAATTTCGAAAAATCAATTCTATTTTTTCTTTTCCTTAAATATGCCCAAAAGTCAAAACAGGCGATTTAAAACAGGACGGAGGGAGTAGTTTTTTCTTCCTCGAGTGAATTTTAATTATTTTATTAATTTATTTTATTTAAAAATCATAATAGAAATTAATAATAATAATCTTACATATTTAAAACATACGTCAAAAGCTCTATAAAACAAGAGATAAAAAGAAAAATTTATTCTATCAAATAATTGATCAAGTACAGAAATAAAAAAGTGTGTGGCTTTTGAATAGTAAAGAGTGTATTTATTTTTGGATGCTAGAGATATAATTTATTTTGATGACTAAAATAAATTGGTAATTTGGTATCATGTTAATTAGAAATGGAATTATATTATGTCATACTAATGTCAAATTATACCTTACATTATGTTTGGAGTCGGATCATCAACTTATTTTTATTACTACGTACTTATTACCTATTCTTATAGAAATTAGGTTATGTCAAGTCAATTTTTAAAAATAAAATTATATTTAGATCAGATAAGATTTTAATAAATTAGATCAAATCTAATAATTAGATCAGAGGAAGAGTCCAAACAATTAGAAAGAAGAAAATGTTTACATCCTTTTCTTTATCAAAAGATGAGGAATTTTGTTTTTCTTTCTCTTACGGAGTTTTCTCCTTATTTTCTTTTTTTCTTCAATTTTTTTTGCTATTCCTCCCTAATCAAACAACAAAAAAAAATCCATCTAACATTTTTCTTCTTCAAATTCCTTGCACAAAACACAGTGGTCGTGACTTGGCCTTTGAGTGTTAAAAAGAATTTTTATTATTAAAAAATTAATTAATCAACAACTTTTTTAAAGAAATGACGCACAAATACTTTTATGCATCCATACTAAACAAGTGTAGTGTTTATGCCTAACTTTTGACAAAACATGATTGTAAATAATCTTTTTTAAAAGAAAAATACATAAATTGAGTTGTACTAAAGTAATTTAAGAGACTAAAATAATATAGGTTAAAGTCTACTCAAAGAAATCAAATTTAAAAATGTTGAAAAATAAAAAAAATTATGATCAATTGATTAGCTTAGTACTTCCTTCATCTCATTTTTTTCTACAAAAAAGATACACTTTCCATTTCCCAACAAATATTTTAGTAGTAGCAATTTGTTTCAAGATTTTTAGTTCTCATTTCTTGAATTGAAAACTTATCCCGTACAATTTTGTAAAATTGATAATTCCATTTATGCTATAATTTACTAGAATTATTTTAAAAAATTAAATTTAGATTTGTAAACAGACATGTCTTTGATTTTTTGTTCAACCCTAGGACTCTAGGAGAGGTGGATAGTTGGAAATCTGGAAGGAATTGAATTGGATTTTCTAATGTGTAAGTTATGGTCATGACTAATGCTACGTTCTGTTCACCTGATCTGATCTGATCTGAGTTTTTGAAATTTTGATCTGATCTGATCAAATCAAACCTGATTAGACATGATCTAATTGAATATGATCTGATTGAATATGATCTAATCTGATCTAATTGGATCTCATCCAATCTTGTCTGGTTAGATCTGGTGTAATCTGAGTAATGCATTTGTTTACTACCAACATCTATTGATTTATCCTCTCTAATGATTTATAGTGAACTATGTCATATTCACTGTGACCCAAATTAAATGACATTTACACGATTTAGAAGGTTAAATTTTATTTTTGTTAGTTATCTGATAAATTAATATAGTCATGTCATCAATTGTTTTGTAGAGGTTTTGATTTAGTTTTTAAATGCATTAATTCTACTTTCAATTCCAGTCCAATTGTCTTATTAATTGAATAAAAAATAATTTTGATCAAATATCATAAACTAAAACATGTCATATAAAAGGGGACATAAGATTTAAAAACTCATATATTAAGACACCTGGCGTCACCACGAATGGGGAGATAGATGAGTTAGGTGATAGTTTTCTAGAATTATAGGTAGTAATTTTTATTTTGTAATGGTGAACAAAAAGAATTGTACGGAGTTTTAGGATTTTGAAGGAAAGAAAATGCTTTATTTATTAATTTTAAGTATTATTTTAATAAAAAAATATTAAAGAAGTATTTAGATAATTTATAGATTAAATACATTTTACGGAGTACATTTTTACTTCTATTTTCGACTTTTCCCTTGAAAAATGATTGAGATTAAAATTGGGCCTTTGAGGAGCAACTGTGCAAGTGGGCTTCGATCATAAATACCTTCTCTTGTCGCCAATAACTCTTTGTACAATCACTTTGCCAGATCTGTGAATGTGTCCCCATCACTTCCATTTGAATGCAGGAGATGTGTTGTGTGCAAGTTTGGACAATTTTTGTACAACTTTATTTGGGTGGGTTAAGGCCATAAACAATCTTAAGTACTCCCTCCGTCCCAATTTAAATCGTCTGTTTTGATTTTTAGGGATATTTAAGGAAAATAAAAAATAAAGTTGATTTTCCGAAATTGACATTACTTTTTAGAAAGGATGATGATGAATGAGAAGATAAGGTGAAGAACAGTGATTTATTTTAGGGGTAGTTTAGGTATTTTATTTTTAAAAGTTTACGAAAACAACTACTCCGTAACAGACAACTTATTTTGGGACGGAGAAAAAAGGCAAACAGACAATTTAAAATGGGACGGAGGGAGTAACAAATAACACTATGTTTGGTTCAAGGAATTTGAAAGAGAAAGGAAAAGAAAATGAAGTGGAAAACCATTTTTCTTGTTTGGTTAGAGGAGAAAAGAAAGGAAAAGTGGAAGTAAAAGAAAATGAGGAGGCAAAATGTACCAAGTGGAGGGAAGACCAAATTCCTCCCATTTTGGTGAGGAAAATGAGAGAAAACCATTTTCTTTTCTTTTCCTTCCAAAATTTTGAACCAAACATAGTGTAAGTCTCACATATTGACGTGACATATTTTAGTCAATGTGAAATAAATCAAATAATCACACAATAACAAGTGAATGGGGTAACTTATCATTTGTGAGAAGTCATTATTTTTGGCAGTACTTACATATATTTTGACCGTAAAAATTTATTTTAGTTATCTATTTTATTTTAAGAGTACTTCTCTTTGTTTCCCAAAAAAATATTTTTCTTCCAAAAAAATGGATGTCCATGTACATGCCTCGCAAAGCGTGGTGCCTCGCTAGTTCCCACACAATTGTCTTTGCTCTAATAATGTTCTAGGCACTAAATGTACCTATTTTATGTATGACTAGTGAAATATCCCCGCTGTGCACTATAGATCTTCTCAAACACTATTTACGGAGTCAAACTTAATTCACTTTATTTGTATATTTTTTTTTACTAATTTCATAAAATAATATAGTGTTATCATATCTAGTTTTGTAGAATTTTTCATGTAGTTTATTACTATATAGATTTTATATTAAAATTTACTCCTATATTCAAATAAATTGAATTGAAAATAAAGTCGGTCAAGCCTCGTAACACGCAATGAAAAGATCTTAGGTGGACGGAGGGAGTATTAATTTTCTGATCTTTATGGCGTGTGTTTCTCACTTCTTACAAAGAATTAGGAGTAGATTGGTACACCTCTTGAATTTAGAGCATTCCAGAGGGAGATGCAAATTTAGAAAACTATCACTATGTTTAGTTTAAAGAATTTGGAAGGAAGAGAAAAAAAATAATTTTCTCTCATTTTCCTCACCAAAATGGGAGAAATTTAGTTTTTTCTCAATTTGGTACATTTTGTCTTCTTATTTTCTTTGCCTTTCTTTTTTCCTCTAATCAAACAAGAAAGAATATTTCTCATTTTATTTTATTTTCTTTTCCATTTCTAATTCCTTGAACCAAACATAGTGTATATGTTAATCCCCTTTTTTTCTTTAGACACTTCCTATATTAACTTTGCCCAAAAATAAGGAAGAGTTATTTGGAGTTGACTTTCTAATTATGTCCTTGATGTAATGAGTAAAACTAAAGTGAGATGAGTAAATTGTTAGTTAAAAAGCATGGGGAATTGATATACGCGCTCCACGTTTGTTAGTGGCGCTCCACCCTCCTAATATTTTTTTTAATGTTTCCCATCTTGCCCTTTTATTAACAATTAATCAGCCACCCACCCATCAAAAGTAGCTTTCCATATTCCAACCACCGTACCTATTCCAATTTGCACCCATTTCAATTATTCCTCTGCACCAACTCACTCGATCTTTCTACTTGAGGAAGCAAGCACATCCCAAATTCGTAGTTCAGGTTCATTTACTTTTCAATTATTGTTATCTTTATCTCTATTGCTTCTTTGTGAATCAGAAAAGAGAGGTGAACTAGAGTTTTACAGCCCCATTCTTTCATCTTTACCATACAATTTTTAGTCATTTTCTTATATTTTTTTTTATATTTCTAAGGTATTTTTAAAGATGGATGTTCAACCTGAGTTGGATGATCAATCTGAGTTGGAGAACATACTAAACCTTGTGAAAAAGAAGAGCGTAGAAGAAATATGTCAAGAATTCATGGAAGGGGGTAAGTCTTGCCTGTAAATTTTTAATTTTGATTTTATTAAATTTATTTTGTAGTAGTGAATTGTACTTGGGTGAGAGTTGAAATGTTTTATTAAATTCAATGCATTTTTTGAAGTTATTGTTTGTAAATTGAACTCTGGGTATTTTAGGTGAAAGTAGTTTTCAATAAGAATTAATGTTTAGAAGTGACACATCCCATGAAATAGTGAAAGAAGATCAGAACAATGGATCAAGTGATTTTTTTGAGTTCATGCACTATATAATTTCATAGCCGTGTTGACCTTCAAAATTATGTCCAAAGAGTTGCTTTAGAGCAAGGGTTTGTGGTGATTATAAGAAAATCTAAACCAAAGTATTATGTGATTCTGGGTTGTGATAGAGGTGGAACACATCGTTCAAGAGTTCCTGCCGATAAAAGAAAAAGATTTACTGGTAGTCGCCTCATAAATTGCCCGTTTGAGGTATGAGGAAAAAGAATAGGAAGTTTTTGGGTGCTAGACATTAAGAACTTATCACATAATCATGAGCCTTCAGAAGATATGTCAGGGCATCCTATGTGTCGTAGATTTTCAATCGATGAGATGCAAATTGTGAAAACATTGTCTATGGCTGGTTCAACACCTCGGGAAATCATGTCTGCACTTCGTAAAAGCAATCCGAATCTTCAAGCAAATTCAAGATCTTTATATAATGCAAGAGCTAAGATAAAAAAAGAAGATTTAGGGGGGCATACCATGATTGAGGCATTGTCTATTTATAAACTGCAATACTGAAACATGAAGGATTTTGAGTTTTTTGGTACAAGAGATATTTGGACTTGCTGCCTATTTTTTTGTTGTTTTTTGTTTGTAACCTTTTGTACAGAAAATCTTTTGGTAATAGGATAGCTACTTTCTAATTGAAGGAGGGCAAGATGGTCATTTTATTAAAAGAAATAAAGATGGTGGAGCGCCAATAAATTAATTGGAGTGCATATATCAACTCTCAAAAGCATGATTAAGGTTATGTTTGGATTGAGGTAGGTAAAATTTTATTAGGTAGGTAATTGAAGGTAGGTAATTCAAGGTAGGTAATTGAAGGTAATATGTTGAAAATTTGTGTTTGGATATTTAGTAGGTAATGTGAGGTAGGTAAAACAATAAAATTACTTAAATGCCCTTTTGCTTGTTTTTCTTTAATACGTGTTTCACTCTCATTCTCCTCTACGTCATCATCAGGAGTCCAAGCCTCGTCAGGATCCTCACGTAACAAATATTTGTGTAACAGCAAAAAAACAAGAAAAAATAGCAAAAAAACGAAAAAACTTTTTTTTCGTTGTTTTTTTATGTTGCTTTTTTTGGTTTTTTTATCGTTTTTTTGGGAGGTTCTTTTAACTTTTTGTTTTGACTTTTTTTTTTTCTTTTCGTTTTTTTTAGTCATGTACTTCTGAACCTTTGTTTTTTTTCGTTTTTTTTTAGTTATGTGCTTCCCTCTCTTTTGGACGTAGCGTAGCCTTCTCCTCGAAGAAAGCTGTGGCAGAGGAAGATCTGAGATGGGAGAGGAAGATCGTCGAGCGGCAGAGGAAGATCGGCGATGGGAGAGGGAGATCGTCGCACCGGCTCTAGCGTCGTCCGGGATCTTCGATGGGAGAGGAAGCAGCGGCATCCGGCATATGCAAAGCCGGAGAATACGAGAAGGGCAGAGTAGGGAACGAAAATTAATTACCTCAGTAGTTCGCCAAATTGGCAGTCACGAAAAAAACACTGTTCAGAGGTAGGATTACCTCCCTCTACCTCCGCTGACCTAACCCGTTTTTCTTCCCAAACGAGGTAAAGTGTAAAAATTACCTCACTCTACCTCGCCCTACCTCCAACCAAACACTGCGTAAAAGTTAATTTTTAATAAAAATTAGTAATGTTTTAGAGAAAAAGAAAAAAGTGAAAGAGAAAGTATTTTTTTCTCTATAGTGATTTATACATCTTGTTTTTAACTTCTCCAACGATGTATACACTGAAATCAACTGGTCAAAACAGCTAACTTAATCTGCCATTCAAACCAATCAATACAAACGGACAACAACCAAAAACCAAATCTAACGGCTAATTCCCAAACAAACCATCTCAATCATCAAGCAAAAAACAAAATTGAGAAATTTGAAGGAAAGAGAATGAAGGACAGAATGGTAAATCTGACTTCGCCGTGACGAGGAAGGAGCCGCCTGAAGGCAAGAAATCAAAATAGAAGACCTCTTTTTGTAAATAAAAAATGGCTGATTCACACTTTTAAATTTCTATTTTTGATTCAAATATATAGTTTAATTTAAATATTCCTTAAGTGAAATTTGCACTAAATATGACTAAAACATAATGACTTTCCTAATCTAGGACTTAAACTTTTTTATTCCCTAAATAGGACTTAATAATGTCTTCGTGGAAGGAATAATGCCCAGCAATGATAGACATCACTTGAATAATGACTAAAGAATAATGACCAAAGGTCCTACATTTGGAAATAAAAACATATGGTCCTATTTTGAGAAAGTCATTATGTTTTAGTCCTATTTAGGTAAATTACTCATTTGTTTATGACTTAAAAGAAGGCTTCATATTGACTTGACGTGATTAGTAAGAAAATGAGATTCTAATCGAGATAAAAATTTATACCAAAAAAAGAAGAAATATTTCATAATATGAAGGAGTTTTTTTGCATCATCTACCTCTAAACTTTTCTAAAATTATACAAATTTCTTATAAATTTTAAAAATTATATTAATGCATCATGAACTTTTAAAAATATTGCACTAATGTTCCCTTTGTGTCAGATTTGAGAGTGGTCATCAAACACTCATGCAGTGCAAGTATGAGTTCATCTAAAACAATTTATTGCACGTGAGCTCAGTAATATGTCCTTCCCAATCACTATTTTCCATATTTTTAACCTTTTTAAATTCGAGATAATTATTCTCGATTTAATCATCTTTTCTCGAAGGTCGAACACCAATCGATAAATCTCTTCATCAATCCATGACATCTTCATAAAGTTCCAACATGTATATTGATGAACGTGTGATTAACGCAGTCTTAAAACTGACACAGAGAAATCATTGGTTTAATATTTTTGGAAGTTCATGAGCCATGCATTAGTACAATTTTTAAGATTAGGACAAAGTCGTGCAATTTTTAAAAGTTTTAAGTTAATCAAGACTTAAATTTCATTGTTTTGTCAAGCAAGAGATCGGATCTCGATTCGAAGTTGTTTGGTCAAAAAATGTACTTTATTTGAGGTACGTTACCTTACTACATGAGGCAGCACCCGAAAACATATTTAGATACTAACGCTACACGACCCATGATCGGCGTTCCTCTCCACCCTAAAACATATTTCTAAAACTTACACTAGCTCGTTCATCTCGTTCTTTGTATCGTTAGTCTACCTAATAATCATTAATAGTTGAAGTGAGTACATTGCTCACTCTAATGCTAGGATTTGTCGTTGATTATGAGCGTATATATATATGACACAGAGCGGGAAGAGGACGTCTAAGCCCAATCAGAAGCCCTGCCTAAGACAATTGTAGCAGATCGACCCTCGTTAAAAAAAATTTGTTTTTATTTTTTAAACTCTTTTTAATTTTTTTTCTTTTTAAAAAAATTATGTGCTCTAGAATATTTCTCTAACGTGAATTTAATCCATTCACTTATGATCTGATCTAAGAGTTTTTCAAATGTGTAACATTTATAAAAAAACTCGGCATTCACAAAAACATACAAATAAAAAATCAAGAAAATAATAAAATCTCATTCACACAATTATAAATAAAACCTTATTCTACATTTCTAACCAATATAATATATCTCCGTTAAAACATTGTCCAACATTTGTATCTTATATTTATTTTCTTAATTAATTGCTCACCAAACACATATCATTGAGTTTTCAGATCCCATATCATTTTTTTTTAGATTTTATAATTCATTTTTTATCATATCTCTAAAACTCACCAAACAGGTCCTTAGAACAACACTTCAAACTTCAAAGGCTCACCCAGCCCAATGAAAAGAAAGGCCCAATAGATAATGTATTGAGAAGTTTTGAAGTATAAAGAGAAAGCCCCATTGGATTAAATCCTTTCAACCTTTGCTTGCCCTTTGGGTTTTTTATATCCTCCCTTTCCGATAGCGACTCCCCTGATTCAAGTTTCTGCCGAGAAATCAAAGAGAAGAGAGCAACCAGAAGGAAGAAGAAAGAGATGAAAGTTTTCGTGAAGACTCTCAAAGGATCCCACTTCGAAATCGAAGTGAAACCAGAAGATACTGTACTGTTCTTTCCCCCCCTGTTTATCTTTTGATCGTATGCTGAATTATCGCTATCTTTTTATTTGGTAGATGAGAGTACATGTGATCGGTAAGGGTTTTTTTTTGCGTTGTTGATTCATATGTTTTAGCTTGCATTCCTTTTAATTTTCGATTCAATTGGATGAAAGTTGAGTGTTTTGTAGAATCAGGACTGCGAATTTCTTTATCATTGTGTTCAATTGAGGTTATTAATTAGGGAACTGAATTAACTTCATTCGATCTGCGGGTTTTTTGAGGCATTAATGTTGGGTTGTGTTATCATCGTCTCTGTTTTGATGAGGTTTTTGATCTGGGAACTGAATTGACTTCATTCGATCTGTGGTGTTTTGAGACACTTGAATGCTTCGTTAATTGTGAAAATTTGGGATTTTTTGATCTTTCGGTGTAGACAAGTTGATAGATTTAGCTTTCTGTCTCATTTAGCTTCAAAAACTAGCAGAAATGGGGAGTTCTTGTCACTAATGGGGAATAGCAAACGATAATTGTACCCCAAAGGTTTCCAATTGTTGGGTTTAGTCTATTGCTGCCTTGATGGTGAAGTATAATTTGAGCTATTACATTGGTTTTAGATTGCTGATGTCAAGAAGAACATAGAGACTGTTCAAGGATCAGATGTTTATCCTGCTGCCAAACTGATGCTTATCCACCAGGGAAAAGTGCTTAAAGATGGAACTACTCTGGAGGAGAATAAAGTTGCTGAAAACAGTTTCGTTGTCGTCATGATGTCAAAGGTAAAATCTCTAGTGCTGTTAACACACTTGATGAAGAGATCTTAAACCATGCTATATTGCTGTTTATGATCAAACCATATCAATCATTAAGTACAATATGAATAAAATACGAGCAGGATTCACCACAATTAATATGTTAAAAGATTTTGTTAACATAGTAGCTTTGCTAAAGTGCCTAGAATCCATATCTAACTTCTAAAAGCTGGGAAGGTTTAGTAGCACATTGCCACATTGGTATGCCATAATGTAGATATACCCTCTATTTTCTTGTCAAAGTGTGTTTTCTTTACAGGAAAACTGCATATTACCTTCTGAATGCCTTCAACAAATGGAGAACTTGTAGATTTGGTGCTCTAGATTCTTGTTGATCCATTTTTTCCTTTCTGAAACTACAAATTTTCCTCAACTAACAACAAACCCAGTTCATTTTCTGGTTGACCAGTTTATTTTCATAATTATATTTGGGGTCTTCAAGTAAGCCATAGCTCGTTTACTATCCACTGTTAGTTGAATAACTGATTGAGACCTGTCTTTGCCAAGACATGCATTAAGTATCCACAGTAACTGAGGACCCCTACATGCTCTCACATGCGCACACATTTTAATAATACTGTTGTGGTCAATGTGAAGGTGCAAATGATTTTTAATCTTCGCTAATATTTTTTCTATCTGGGTTTTCAAATTTGTTGCATTTTCAGAGTAAGACTTCGTCTGGAGAAGGTTCAGCATCAGCTACAACAACCAGGGTTGGTATTACTGTAATACTGCACATTATATATTATCGTTGTGCATGTTTCCTATATGTAGTATCTCATGCACAATGTCTTTTTGTATAGCTTTATGCAAAAAAGATTTCTAGTATGTTCAAGTTTTCGCAATTCTTGGAAAGAGTAGTATTTTCTTTGTACTGATCTTCAAATGTATACCCATTTAGGTCCCAGTAATTCCTTTAGTTCTATGTCCACAACTAAAAGAGAAAGAGGACTAGGATTGTCTTTCTTTTATTGGCTGCATTTATCATTATACCATAGTCCGTACCATATTATGTGACTTGTGAATGACAACTAAACCTTGTTCTATGCATCTGCAGGAAACACAACCTAGCAACCCACCTGCTAGCTCAACTCCAGCTCCTACAACAGTAGCGTAAGTTTTCTGCTTCAAAATGTTCTTGCAATTTCTGTGTTCACCAGTAAAGATGGTTCTGTGTACGCTTCACTATTTTCAATGTTTTCACTTTTAATATGAGTAAATTTATCATTTTCTCATTTAGAATTTTTATAATCTATATAACGTGGAAATCTTTGCAGGCCAACTCATGCTCCTGCAGCGACTCCCTCTCCTGCACCTGTGGCAACTACTGGGTGAGATCAACATTCATAGATGATTTACATCTATATAATCAAGAACTTGTGTGTGGATATTTTATCTTTTACCCCTTATACAATTTACATGGACAGATCAGGAGATGTTTATGGTCAGGCAGCTTCTAGTTTGGTCGCAGGCAGCACCCTTGATGTAGCAATCCAACAGATTCTTGACATGGGCGGGGGAACCTGGGAAAGGGACACTGTTGTTCGGGCCCTGCGTGCTGCTTATAACAACCCTGAGAGGGCTGTTGAATATTTATATTCTGTAAGTCTTCTTCTTTGTGTTTGCATTTTTCTTGGGATTGTAGTTTGCATTTGTACATATAGAAGGATCTATATCGTGGTCTTAAAAAGACTTTCTTGTGTAATATGAGTTTAATTTGAATGGTTCTTTTTTTAGGGTATTCCCGAGACAGCTGAAGTCCCTCCTTCTGGAGGTGGTAACGCACCGCTTGCAGAGCCAGCTGCAAACCAGCCTGCTCAACCTCAGCCAGCAACACAGCCTGTGATTGCTCCCTCAAGTGGACCAAATGCAAATCCTCTAGATTTATTTCCACAGGTATGGCTAAGTTCTCCACTGATTTTTTTGAGCAAGTTTTATTTATCCCAGCGGATTTGAACAATTTAGTACATCTTGACAGGGTTTTCCAGGCATGGGCGCCAATGCAGGAGGTGCACAGTCCTTGGATTTTTTACGAAATAGCCAGCAGGTTTACCTTTCACTCCTGTTATCTTACTTACCTGAATCATGCCCCAATTCTTTCACAAGGCAGTGATAATGGGATATGTTGACTATATCTTTTATGTTCAAAACACAATTTTTGTTTTCAGTTTCAAGCTTTGAGAACAATGGTTCAAGCCAATCCACAAATCTTGCAGGTTTGGCACTCTATTCTAGAAATCCGTGGTTTATTGAGATATCAAATTTATATAGATCTCATTTATTTCTTTGTTTTTTTGTGGGGCAGCCCATGCTTCAGGAGCTTGGAAAACAGAATCCTCAATTAATGAGGCTTATACAGGAGCACCAGGCAGATTTTCTTCGCATCCTCAATGAACCAGCTGAAGGAGGAGAAGGGTACATTTAGACCTATGTTTTTGACTTTTGGTATACACAATTACACACCTAATGGTTCGTTTTTTTTTTTTGTTTTTTTCCAGCAATGTACTTGGGCAGCTTGCAGCTGCAATGCCTCAGCCTATACAAGTAACACCTGAAGAGCGCGAAGCAATAGAACGTGTAAGTGTTTACTTTCTCCAAGGCTATGGGGGTGTTTCTCTCTGCTAGTCAAAATGGTGAAACGAAAAAACTGGCTTAATACGCAACTTATAGGCCAAGTTACATATAAGCACGATCATCAGCTAACTTATAAGTTAAAAAAAGCTTATAAGTTGTTTTGACCAGCTGATAAGCACAGAGAAACACCCATATGGATAACTTTGCAGAATTGTGCATCAATGAGAGAAAAAAAGTCGTGTTTGTCCTACTACTACAATATTGTGTATAGTATCATTGTATAAGAAACATGAAAATATTTGCATAAATTGGGAGTAAATCTTTTTCGTCTCATGTTTTTCAGCTTGAAGGGATGGGGTTTGATCGGGCGCTTGTGCTGCAAGTGTTCTTCGCGTGCAACAAGAACGAAGAGTTGGCCGCGAACTATCTGTTAGATCACATGCATGAGTTTGAGTGATTATTATTATGGGGAAATGGGGAGTTTTTACAGCTATATAATAATTCTCTTCTATCTTCTTCTGTGAACTGTGACTACAAGGGATTTCATGTTCTTGGTGTCTTTTGTGTGTCTAATTACAACTGTCTTATAATTATATTATTATTACTCTTATTATGTCCATGTTTGGTACCTTGTAACCATGTTCATATTTCCCATGGAATGAAGTTGAGAATTCAAATCCACATTTCATATTTTTGATGAGTGGTTTTATGAACACTTTGTTGAAGGATCATATGCTCTCTCCGTCTCTAAATTATTGTCACGTTGACGAACACGAGATTTAAGAAAAATAAGAAATTATTCTAATTACTCTCTCTCCGTCCCATAAACTTTTTCAAAGATAAAAAAAGCTGCGTTCTAAAAATAAGTAAATTTGATATTGTTTTTTAGTTATGATTTCTATATCTTACACATCATATCATACTTTATTACTCCCTCCGTTCCATTTTATAACGCCTATTTCGGTTTACGATGTTTGACTGAAGTTATTTTCAAATAATTTTATATGACAAATGATATAGAGTTAAAAAATAAAAATTATATATCAAAATACAACATCAAAAGATCTAAGACAACAATATTTTATTTTATCAATTTGCTAACGAAAATAGAGAAAGAAAGTGAATGAAGTTTGACCCTGTGAATAGTAAATAGGCATAATAATTTGGGACGGAGGGAGTATAAAATAAGGAAAAAATTAAAAAATAGTATCAAAATTACATAGAGTATATTTTTAGGAACGGAGGAAGTATATTAATAATGTATGAGATATTTGGTATTAAATTCTCGGGGTCAAAAATGATGAATTTCTAAAAATATAAATCTCATTTGGGGCTGATAATAAACAATAAGAGGAATTTTGGTACATCAATTATTTTTTTAATTTTTAGTTCTTTAACAAAGTTTACAGATGAGAAAAATGTAGTACTGTACTGTGAGTATGACTTTTTGTACATAAGTTATTTTTAATCTATAATCCGTATATGTTTTCAACAAAATCTATTATTTTCAACATCATCTAAATGTCAAATGTGTAATACCATTGGCCAAGATTGTTTTGGTCTTGATCAGTTTTTCTTAATAACCTATCTTTGTCATGCATGTTCTTCCAATTCTGATTCCAATCTAGAATTAGTCCTCAACATTTAAGAAAATTACATAGCAATATTATTTTTCAACAAGTTTAATTTATATTTAATTTTGGATAATTTTTTAATTGTGCATACATATTAATTTTGAAAATATTAAAATTAAATGCTACCGTTCGACATTTTTTCTGAAGGATAAATCGAAACAATAAATTATTTATGTTCTAGTTTTTGTATCTCTTCTATTAATATTTCCTTTATACCTTAGAAAACTTCACTCCTTTTTCATGTGATCTAAATAAGCATTTCACGTTCTTTTAAAACAAAAGAATAACTATTTCACATATTTTTTTAAAAAAAGTTGGAAGAGGTAAATTAATTAAAAGCATTCCTCATGAATTGAAAAGGTGGAAGAGGTAACATTAAAAAATGGCGAAAGGATACACTATAAATTTTATACAAAATGCTAACATTAATCGAATGAAAGCCTGTATTATTGAGCAACTAACAAATGAAGAAGAATCTAGAAATAATATGGTCCACACAAAGTAACAACGAAGATATTCTGACATTACCGTTGTAGTTGGGCAAAAAACTTGAAAGCTATCAGACTCTCATCTTCACTCGTCACTTTCTTTTTTTTAAAAAAAAGGAACCCCCACCCTAGGGGTTCCCTTGTACCCTCAGAGATTGTGAAGGAAGTAAAAAGTAGAATGTGCCTCAATTTGTTACTTGAGCATATGGTGAGTTGAAAATAATCTCTTTACTTTAGAGTAATTGTGAGGTCTACGCGGATAACTTTCAACAAGAGTATTATAACTTGCACACTGATCTTGTCTACGGGGATGCTAATTCCTCCACAGCCTTTGCTTAGGATCAAACTCTCCACTCAACTGACCGCAAGTATGACAAACACTATATCAGTCTAGGTCTTTGCTTTTGAGCTATGATTAGTGGCTTAATTTTTCTATTTTCCTAAACATAGCGTGACAATGAATCTAGGAAGGGGTAAACCTAGGAACATTTGGAAATATTGGATTATAGCAGTAAGGTAGACAAATTGAGCTCGATGGTAGTTTTCAAAATTTGTTGTATTCTTTTTATGTTTGATGCTGTTTACTTGGTGTGCTTTTTTTCCATTAATATTTGCTTTGTGTTTTGCTTCCTCGTGCTCAATGTTTTCTCTGTTTTATGTTTCTTCTGTGATCTTGTATTATGTGTGTTGCAGGAGCATATAATCCAATGAAAACAATCTCCTTTATAATAAGTGTAACGTACACACTTTTCCAGACCCAACTCTATTGGGACGATGTAGGATAAATTCTAAGATAATACTAGGAACTCACTATCCATGTCTCCATGCAAGACAATATAGACAATATGGTGTGCCAAAAGGTAAGTGGATAAAGACAGTGGGACGGAATGAGTATTTTATATTTATGCAGATAATAATAATCTGTGTAATTTGAACTCCCTCTGTTCGGAAATATTCTTTCCATTTGACTTTTCTTGGTCAAAGTTTGTAAATTTTAACTATGATATGTGGAAAAAATACATTGTATTACGATATAACTTTAATATGAATATATTCATTTTGAAATATGGTTTTCAAATATCAAATTTTTATAAAATATATCCATGTATAAATAAAGATATTAGTGGTCAAAATACAATTTTAAAGACCGTAAAAATTCAAATGAGAAGAACATTTTTGAACAGAGGTATTATCATGTGCGTGCTTAGATATAAAATCATTTATTGGCAAGGGCATTGATGGTTGGTCCAAAATTTTAATACTTCAAGGGCGTATAAATTAGTCAACTTTCTTTTTTTTAAAAAATAATTTCTCCGGACTGGACTTTTTGTCTTTGTTCGAAACATTGGTTCCATCGATCGTCACGACCAAAATTGGGAGTTAAATTTGGAGGGAAGAACGCAAACTTAGTTCTAACAGACTCACAGAATTATGGCCTCCCGATTCCGATCCGTCTTCTCCACTACTCCAAAACTCCATTGTTGCTCCAACCGGTAAGCTTCCTTCCAAGACGCTTCTCAATTTTCATCTCGCCCGATCCCCCCCTTTTTTTGAATTTCTGAAAGCGGTTGACCGGAATTGAAACGATGTTCTTCTTCTCTCGCGGAGGGTGACGACGGCGGAAGCATCTGGCGCGGGGATTTCCGGAGATTCTATGGAGGAGGATGTCGCCGGCGGCGGGTCCAGGACGCCGTTGTCGGCGGTGGCGGACGCGTTTGAGCGCCTTCTCGCGGAGATGGAAGCGGAGGGGTGCGGTTTTATCAGGTTGAAACCCTTCTGCGAGGCGTGCTCTCTGGTTTCGGTCCTTTTTGGGTGTTTAGGGATTGCCTTTAAATTCGCCGAGCTTGAATATGCTGCTAAGGTTTTGTATTCTTCTCCATTGCTTACTCTTTTCCGATATAGATTGATTGAAACAGATAGCTATCTTTGAAATTTCAGCATTTAGAGCCAGTTTGGGAGTTCCAAAACTTGGTTTTTCGACAGAACAACTAAATAGGAGTACAGCATTCAAAAGATTATAAATCACATCACTCGTCTTCTACAAAATTACTGCATTTAGCTTTTTAGATTATTCTTAATAGTGATGATTAACTTTGAGAATGTTTAAGCTAAATGCTATTGTTAGATAGCTTTTTACAAATCTTTAAAGCTAAAGTTGTTGTCAAATAGGCAATTAAACAGCCCCACATCATCCCATACCTAAACATCTAGTTAAGCATTTTATCATTGCAATACACTAATACCAAGCTGGTTGTAAAACAAAGTGGAAAAAGTAGAATCATGTTTTTGACATAAGTGTTTGATGAGAATTGTTATTGACATAAATTAGAGTTGACATAGAATCTGGTATAAATGAGTGTTATTGGCATACATTAGAGCAGATGAGAAGTGTTTGACGGGGTTTTTGTAATTGTAGCTAGTATCATTACAATTTATGGGAATTTCTGTCATGTTTCTAGTAAAGGAAAGGGACATGCTGAAGTGTAAACCTTCCAAATTACTACTTGAATAGAAAACATCAATGTATGATCACTAAGAAGATCTCATTGTCTCACCTTTGCTCTTCTTTTGTGCTTATTTTCATTGTTCATACTTTTTTTGCCTTATAATTATGATCTTCTCTATCCTCTCAGGTTCATAGCCTCGCTGATGCATCCAAGAGATATGAAAATTTAGAAAGCATTCTTGATTATGATGTAAAAAATGACACTGTCAAAACAGCGGGGAGTTTATCCCGTAATTTACGCAGAGTCAGGCAGGGTTTACATCTTATCAAAGATATATTCCAGAATTTTATGTCGTCCGAGTATGTGCTTAATATTCATTCCCACACATGATCTTTTCTGTAACCCGGAAAATGCTAGGGAGATGTAATGAAATGGCAACGGAAATAACGCTCTTATGTCTGGTTTTACTTTGAAAATTGAATTATGATAATTTATTCAAATCTTTCTTTACATATACCCGAGGTATATATATACAAGTAAATAGAGTTTAAATAAACTATCTAAAACTAATCCATGGTGTTTCAACATACTGAGTATCGTTTATCTACCCTCCAAAATTTTCTTTCTTTTTCCTTCTAATTTGACTCCTATTTCTCCTCCCTAGTTGCTTTCCCCAGCATTTTTAAGTACCAAACGAACCCTTAGTTACCCTTGATTTGAAACAATTGTTGATGCTGATTTGATTTGCTCTCTCCAGGTATAACTCATTGAGAGATGCAGCTTCAACGGCATATGCCAAAGTTTGTGCACCATATCATACATGGGCTGTCAGGACTGCTGTCTGTGCTGGTATGTATGCACTCCCAACTCGGAACCAACTTCTGGAGAGGCTGAATGAAAATGGTGAGTGTTTTCCCTTTTCTTATTTTAGGACAAATAAAATGCTTGAAGCATGATTCTTTTCTTAGAACTAAGGGACTACCATTCTATCAATTTTGCCAAATCGATATTTTGTTCAAACACTTAGATGATGATTAAGTTCTTTTGGGATTTTAAATGGTGGCTTAAAACTTAAATAGTCATTGCTGTCAACATGCTCTAATTTTGACAAATACAAAGTATATCATTTTCACTATACCTAAAACTGTGGCTGTATTGGCAACTGTTTTGGACAAAACCTCATCAAATTCATGTAAAGGTTGTAAATGTGGAGATGCAAATTCTAAAATTTATTATATGAAAAATACTATGTAGAATTTACCGACAGTTTTATTTCACAATTACAATACTGTGGCAGATGTGTCAGCAGAGAAGGAAATGAAAAGATACATCAGTGCTTCACAACCCATCATTGAATACATTGACAAGCTCTACCTTTCAAGAAACATCACTCTGGATTGGTGATCCTCTCATCCTTTAGTTTTGCTTGGATGGATATACTGCAAATTGCAAAGTCTCTCAAGTCAAGAAGATAGGTATATCATTGTAAGAGTTAGATTGGTTGCATAGAAACATTAGCATATATGTAGTGTTATTGTTATTTAATAGATGAAAAATGTTCACAACTTAAGGGTTAGTTTGGTTTATGGAATTGAAGGAATTGGAATTGAATTGGAATTGAGTTTTATGGAATTGAATTGGATTGGATTTTCCAATTCCTATTCATTTTGTACACTACCAATTCCAATTTCCAAATGCACATATTTTTGTGCTACCAAACAATAGAAATGAAATTGAAGTCTCCAATTCCAATTCCATGGCTTGAATTTTGTGTACCAAACGGAGCCTAAAAGTTTTTAGACTTGAATTCATAGTGGCCATTCAAAAGTTTGTGAACCAACTCAATCAAGATTCAAGAGGAATATCTTGTGTGGATGGATACCCTAGCTAGTTGGTGGAATGAAATGATTAAGACTTAGATAACTTGTTCTTATGGTCAAGAAAAGAATGCTTTTGCAGGCATGTCAAGATTGGTTCAAATGATATCTTTACTATGGCCACAATGGAATGCCATTTTTCAAGGTCTCCATAACATTATTATTAAACACAATGCAAGCTTGCATATTCCTTGTTTTACACTGAGGATTTCCTTCCCTATTATTAACATATGTTGAAGCATCTGTTTTCTCATGCTCATTTAAAACCACGTACAAAAGTTTAGAGAGGAAAAAAAATTTACTTCTCATTTCATAGATTCATAAGAATCAGTCAATCTGGGGGCCTCTCATTCCTCTAAATCTATGTCTTACCACGAGGTATGATATACTTTATCAGTTCATCTATTTACTCTATTTCTCCCTGTGGTTTGATTGTTTTGGTCAAATTGAATCGACTTTAATGATCAATTATTTTTAATTGGTATTGCATACTAATACAATAAAATTAAATTTCAAAAGTTCACAATAAAATAAATCTAATGAGATTATTTTTATACTGATATATATTATACTTCGTAGTTTTTATTATGATGACGGACGAAATTATACTACGTGTTCAATTTATGATGGCTGACCAAAAATGTGCTGCGTATTCAATTTAATTTATTACTCTGTATGATTTATGATGACGTACATTTTTTTGTATAGAAATGAAAAATAAAATCTTAACTCCCTATGAATAATAAACATGCAATTTGATTTGGAACGAAGGGAGTATTTCTTAACGAACCAAAAAAATTGTGTTTTTTATTTTAAGACAAATAAGCAATTAAAATTACATCATTCCCCCTCCCCGTCCCAAAAGAAGTTAAAGTTTTTCTTTCGGAGACATTCCAAAAAAACACCTATTTCACTTTTTAGAAAATTTTGTGTGGCTACTGGCTAACCATCATTCTCTCTCTTCAGCGTTAGTGTCAACTACACAATTTTACATGTCATATACACTAAGTGCCACACTCAATGAGAAGGCTTTTCTTAGAATGAAAAGGGTATTTTTATCAAATAATTATTGAAAATATATAAAGAAAAAAAAATACAAATTGGTCATATAAATAATAACATGATTTTGTTTTTGGTTCAACGTGGTGGTACATTAAATACAAGTCATACACGAAAGTATTTTTAATGTGGTGGTACATAAAAATAAAAACATGAAGGTCTGCGGCATGGAGATGCGAATCAATCTGGACTGTCCTGCTTGTTGCAAGAAAATGGATAGAATCCTTTTGAGGATGAAAGGTGCTCCATCCCTCTCATAATTATCTTTTAATATACGACTCACACTATTTTTAATAAACTAAAATTATTATTTGTGTAAAAGAAAGAGAAATATATGTAACACATAATTTTTTTCTCAAAAGAGATCTCAAATAAGACTTTTAGTGCATTTATACCAAAATAATTATAGTATCAAAAAAAAACTAAGGCTTTTAGTGCATTTATACCAAAATAAGACTTATAGTATCAAAAAATATAAGTAAATTCTATAATTGGTCCTTTACAACAAGTGGATTTCCCTATTTAGTCCTCTATTATCAAATATTACCCAAGTGGTCCTTCTTTTATGAGTACCTTTCCACAAATAGTCCTTTTTTGATCCTCTATCATGTTAGTGTTAATTTGAAGACTAAAAGTGTAATTTCACAATGATAATATATCTTTTTTGTCATACACAATTTCAAAGGCTATTCCGTTTGCGTCGTTTGTAAATTACAGTCGCTTTTTACGACAACTATAGTCTACAAATGTGATTCTTTGTCAGAATCCTAGCATACAATCATAGTCATTATTTTTGTGTTATCTGCTTAACCAATATCAGAACACGTCACTAGACATAATGTTGACGTCAAATTATACTTTTAGCCGTTAAATTAACACCAACACGGCAGAAGATTAAAAAAAGGACTATTTGTGGAAAGATACCCTTAAAAAAAGGACTACGGGGGTAATATTAGATAATAGAGGACTAAATATGGAAGTGAAATTTGTACTAAATAGGACTAAAACATAATGACTTTCCTAATCTAGGACTTAAACTTTTTTATTCCCTAAATAGGACTTAATAATGTCTTCGTGGAAGAAATAATGCCCAGCAATGATAGACATTACTTGAATAATGACTAAAGAATAATGACCAAAGCTCCTACATTCGAAAATAAAAACATATGGTCCTATTTTGGGAAAGTCATTATGTTTTAGTCCTATTTAGGTAATGGAAACCCCCCTGTTATAAAGGACTAATTATGGAATTTATTCAAAAAATATTATAAAATGCCAATATATAATGCTCCCTCTGTCCTCCAGAGATTTATACTTTTCATTATTCAAAACCATGGGAACTTTTATTTATTTCATTTGTGTGTTTTTATTGAGTATTTGATGAAATAAAATATTTTTGTAATATCTTGTTTTGTACCCCAAGTAGAATTTTTAATTTACTTTTTAAATATGCAATTTATATTTTTTTTAAATCTATACCAATCTTTATTTTGTAAAATTTATAGACTAATCTTTAAAAAAAAAACTAAAAAACTAAGGAGTTCACTTCTGTGGCATAAAGCGTAATTCATTTAGGGACAAAAAGAGTATCAAATTGCAGATGTTTCATTTATTGTTTACGACATCAAACTTCACTAATAACTCTTTCAGCTGATTTTAACAAATGGTTTTGTTAATTTGAGTGGTGAAGAAATAGAGAAGCGCAAGATAGATGGGAAGAACAACATGGTGGTAGTTTGTGGGAGATTTGATTATGCAGAGGTAGCCATAAAGATCAGGAAGAAGATGAGACGCAGGGTTGAGATTTTGGATGTCCAGATGTTCACCGCCCAACCCGAATAACCCAAATCGGGTGTTCTTCCATGTAACATAATGAGTAAATGTAGGAGATCTTCTATGCCAAAAATGTTGTCCCAAACAGATGTCTCACTCTTAAGGAATCATATATTTAACTCGCAAATTTTTCTTTCTCCTTTACGAATTTTCGATCCAAACTTTTACCTTTTAAACTCCGTAAAGTCAAGCTGTAAACTTCAATGAAATTTGAAAAATGAACACTACCGTGGGACGGGTATGAGAAGGCCATAAATAAACTCACATCATCCATTAATTAGATCAGATAATGAAACTAGCAGATTTCAATGTGCCCAAAGACTTGCAGAATGTGGAATAGAGAAGCTCCAATATCATACCTATGAGCCAAACGAGCCCTTACTGACCTCTCAAACGCTTCTTGCCTTGTTGCATCAGATCCGCAAAGGACTGCAAACTAACTCCAACGTCTTCATCATACTCAATCCCAAGTTCCTCCTGGGAATGTGAATGCTCATTTGAAGATTTAACTCTTTGCTTTTGGAACTAATGAACCAATGAAATAGAGAATGTAATGTTTGTTGTGATTGAATACCTTGAATTCTTTGATATCCTTGGGGGAATTCTCGGTGATAGCATCCCATACGTCTTTGAACATTCGCTTGCGCTTTCTCCACTGACTTATCATCTCAGCATACAAATCCTCCACAGCTTTCCTCTCTTCTGGAGTTACTAGAGTGACTCCTCCTCGCAACTTAATCAATTTCTTTTCCATCTCTTCGGCCTGAAAATGGCAAGATATTCAGAGAAAATGTATTGCACAAAACACCTTCAGTTGGCAGAAGCATTAGACAGCTTGTTTTTTTCCAACCTCGTTTCTTTGTGTGGCTTCCCTGACACGTATTTCTTCCAATGTCAGATTTGATTGCAAAGCTTTAATTTCTGCAACGGAAGTGTAAAATTATTAAAGCATGGAGACAAACACGGAGTATCGAAAATAAATTTAATAAGTTTGAAGAGATGTTTTGTCTTTCTCCCTCATTTTCTTCCAAAGTTTCACTATATTTTGGAAGTTCCAAGCAGGCCCTAAGAACACTTACACTATGTTTAGCTCAAGGATTTTGGAAGGAAAAGAAAAGAAAATGGTTTTCTCTCATTTTCCTCACCAAAATGGAAGGAATTTGATTTTTCCTCCACTTGGTACATTTTGCCTTCTCATTTTCTTTTCCTTCTACTTTTCCTTTCTTTTCCCCTCTAACCAAAAAAGGAAAATGGTTTTCCACTTCATTTTCTTTTCTTTTCCCTTTCAAATTCCTTGAACCAAACATAGTGTTAGTAGGAAAAAAAGTCATTTCCTTGTGCAAAAAGGTTTAAAGAACCCACCTCCTTCAACCACACTGATTGCTCTCTTTTGTTCATCCACCATTTCCTGAAGCTTTGCATTTTCTTCCTTCATTCGATTGAGCTCTTCAGTGTCTGGAATATCAAACTGATCTTGCCTAGCAAGGTATATCTTTTGCTTTCCATATTCCTTGAACGTTATCTTTCCACTGTCAGCAAGACTGTCCAGTGCCTTTTGTACTGCAGCTTTCTTAAGGTTAAACTTTTGCAGAGAATCAGCCACATTTTGAACATTCAGAGGTTTATTTTGCTGGGGCAAATCCAAAGACAGGGAAAATTTTAAATGTACTATCTGAAGAGAGAAGAGTTGATGAATAAGCAGATGCAAGTATTGGCTGTTTGGCACAAAATACAATTCAAAATGTAAAGCAGCCATTGAATGGTGACAATAACGAATGAATACCTCATGCCAAATAAATCCCTTATAAACCTCATGAAGCAATCAACACCACTCTTTATACATTGTGCATAATGCTCAACCCTTCAATACAACATACTCCATATACTAAAAATGATATACCCATCTTCAACTTAACATATAGAAAGGCTCTCTATGCAGTAGTTTGTAAAATGTGGCTTATTAACACTTTCACATTATGCAGGAAGAGCGAAGGAAACAAAAAAAACTCGACGGGCCTAATTATGAAGTAAATTTGGTCTGTACCATCTCTCAAACAAAGCTCAGACCAAATCAAATTACCAAACCCATTATATTGTACTCAAGGGCACAAGCTGGGAGATAAGATCTATGTAACTCTACTCTAAGAAACAGATAGACTGCTTCCCATAGAACCCTAACAATGAGTAGACAAATTAGCTGAAAGAATTTCTCGCACAATTTACCCAATGAAATACACAAAACACAAAAATTGTTGTTTTTTCACTAAACTTTTCAGGGAAACACATAATCTAACACACAACGTCCAAATCCAACATCAGCTAAAAAGATTAAAGGTAGCAGATAAGGAGTTATCATCAACTCCAGCAGAAATGTCTAAGGAAGACGATACCTTTACAGCTAAATGGTTTCAATCGCATACAGAAAAAAAATCGATTAGAAATTACATTCAGAATTACGTGAAGGGGAGTTCGAATCGTACCTCGTTCACGAAATTGAGCACAATTCCTGAAATTGCAAATAGAAGTGAGTAGATATTTCGTAAATTACGAAGCAGATCTGACTGGCAGTTCTCGATATGAAAATCGAACAGAGTTTCAAATGGAGTTGCAATCGAGAATATAGATAGAGGATTACCTTCGGCGTTATCCGATTTCGGAGGCATCGGACGGAAAATTTGAAGGAATTCACACTGAAGATGAAGACCGTATTAAGAGCGCGGGAAAAACGTCTGCAAGTGGCCACCTAAATCCTAGCTTCGAGAAGTTGCACACCCGCAATACCCACAATGAGAGCAAATTTTACAAACTTTATTATATAAGAAATTCAATAAAAAAAATTAAATATATCTAAAATAATTTTAAAATAAAAATTTAAACCATATATTGTAAAAAGACTGAATTAATCAAACTAGATCAGTCCTTTGAAAAGATCATTATTATATACTTCCTTCGTCTCATTGTCTTTGTCTACTTTTGACTTTTGGAACTGTTTATCTAAACACTTTGACTCATCAAATTCTCTTAATGTGTAAGCCTAAAAATAGTCATATGTGATCTTGTTTGATTCGTCTTAACATATAGATTATTAATATATAATTTGTATAATTTTTTAATATACAAATTACAAGATAAAATGGATTAAAGAAATACATTGGAAGGTGTGCCAAAAGGTAAGTGGACAAAGACAGTGGGACGGAGGAAGTACAACATAATTGGCCGGTGTTTTTTTAAAAATCAATCAAAACTAGCTTGGTCTTTATGAAAAAAAGGAACCTTTTGAGACCGGGTAGTCTCGTTAAGACCGGTCTATGTCTAGTCCGGTACTTAATATGTAAAATTATTTTTAAAAATTCAAAAAAATAATCATTAAAAAAAATTATTTTTTGATTATTTAGTTTCTTTTTAAATATATTTTATTGATTTATAATAATTATGCATTTATGCAACATAGATATTATTATGTGAGATGGAAATTGGATATAATTATCAAACAATAAGTTTGATATGAACTCGCTTCATCCACAAATAATCTTTCCACTTTCCTTTTTTATCCATCCACAAATTATCTTCCCATTTTTTATTTTTCTTATTTGATACTACCTCTACCTCCGTCTCAGAGTATTTGTCTACTTTCATTTTTACACACCATTCCATACACTTTTTTAATCCATTTTATCTTGTAATTTGTATATTAAAAAATTATAGAAATTATATATTAATAATCTATATGTTAAGACAAATCAAACAAGATTACACATTACTATATTTAGGCTTACACATTGAGAGAATTTGATGAGTCAAAGTGCTTAAATAAACAATTCCAAAAATTAAAAGTAGACAAATACTCCAGGACGGAAGTAGTAATCAAAAATAATTTTTCAAAAAAATTATTTCCCACCCACTCCTTGTCCATAATAATTGGCAAGAGATTCAAAAAAACTTAAAAAGAATAAAAATCAAATAAAAATGTGTGATAGAGTATATGGTATACAATTGGGGTATCCTTTTAGTGTACCTTAGCATTGCTCTTTTATAAACTATCCTCAACCATCCAAGCCACACTTCTTTTCCTTATCTTCCTTCTCCCATCTGCATATACGTTTTTTCTTCCTCTTCTTCTTTTCTTCTTCCCCCAATCTTCTTCTTCCGTCAAGCCACTGCTCTCTTTTCTTCTTTCTTTCTCCATCCCCTAATCCACTCCACTCCTTTCCATTTGTTCATACCACACCAATCTTCTTCTTCTTCATTCTCCCTCCCCCTTCCGATTTCACCCACGATTTGGAAAGAGCTCTCAGATTTGACCAGATCTAGAAGTGTACAAAGACAAAAGTTGACAAAAGTGTTTTTTTTCTTCAGATCTGCGGGGAAATCAACAAGAAGTCCTAAACTAGAGAGGGCTTGCTGGTTGTGTTCCACATTTGTCCTCAACTAGAAGACCTGGAATGGATCTACGACGGCTGAAGGTCTGCGACAGTGGGGGTGGGGGAGGGGCGATGACAAGAACATCGGCAGTGGTGCCTAAGAGCGGTCCGTCGGTGTACCTCTCAAGGGCCCATTTTTAATCGTCCATCCCTTCTAAGCCTTCTCACTTCGTACGAAGGCCGTAGGACACGGGTCGCAGAGAGCCAGAGCCGAGAAGCTCGAACGCAAATCGATCGGAAAATTTTCTGAGTGCCGGTAGAGACACAGCCGCCGCCATCAGACGCCGCCGACCCTCCAGGTATTCCGCATTCACTACCCACAAGCTTTCTAATTTTGTAATTTTTTACTTTCTTTCATAGTTTCATTCTTTGGATTTAAAATCTAGGTTTAATTATTAGTTTTTAATTTGAAATCTTTGCTAATTGCTATGAAATAGAATGAATTAATGGTTCTATATGTTTTATATTTGATTTGGATGAATTGGTTTGAAATATAATGAATTTATGATATATATAATATATAAAAAAACTGAAAATTGAAAAACAAAAAAACTGAAATAAAAAATAAACTGAAGAATTGACGCATTGATATGAATTTTTGATATATATAAAAAAACTGAAAACTGGAAAAGGATAAAAAGAACAGAAAAATTGATATGAATTTATGATATATTCCTTGCTTTTCCATATTTATGTAGTTATAATACTGTGATTTTGTCATTTATTTTTTTCTTCTAATAATGTTGCGTTATTTATCATTTATATATAATTCATTTACACATGTTAATCTGTTAGACCATTAAGAATAAGAAAGTTATAAGATTCCAGCCTTCCGATTCGATCACAATTCTTCAATTGCTAAACTGCTGCCATTTCTTTATTGAATTCACTATATCAATTAAGAGTTGAAATCTAACATTGAACACGAGGATGGTTGATATGTTCCGCCTATTGAATAATCACCATTATTAGATCTACTTAAGCTCTAAAAATATTTATAAAATTTAAATTATAATTAAAAAATATATGCGCTCTCTAGTAGATGGCCTGTGTTTATTTGGAAAACTTGCAACAAAGAGAACTATTTTTGTGTACTGTAATTTTTTATTAACTTTTAAAATAGTTCAAAGAAAAAAAAGCATTTTTTACCCAACAAAACTAAGTACATCAAACTTCATCTACAAAGCTTCTCCAAGAGAAAAACAACCACACAAACAACAAACTTAATTAATGTATAACATCAGATTTCAGCTTCTTGTTAATAAAACACTTGATTTGAAAACCAAGCATATTCTACACACTCTTCCACTCTTCTAGGAGTCTGCTCATGCACCAATTTGTTCCTAACTTTCCATACTGAATACATAACAGCGGCCCAGGCTGCTTCCCATATGTTTCTTTGCTTTCTATTCTTCCCCTTTTTCATGCTGTAGGCACAAAAACAATTAAGGCTAACATAATTAATGGAACAACCCAATGGAGGTAGAACCTTGTCACGAAGCTTCATAATATATGTACAGCCCCGGAAAATATGTTTTTGATCTTCTACACAATTATTACATAACACCAAGTCTGTATTAATGTTTGTCCTTAAATTTAGCCAACCTTTTCTTGGTTTGTATTCTGCTCTGAATTGGTGTTTAGGGACGGAGAGCCTATTTCATACCAAATTAGTCCAACCAGGGGCACCACACGCCCCAATTAACCAACTGTAACCAGCCTAACCATTCACGAATGGCATACCAACAAATCTCTCGTTTGATCATTTGCTTTCAATAATAAAAAGAGTCAAGCTTGGGCGTATAATATTATAATCCTAGAAACTAGTATCTTTCAAGGATCTAGCATATGTATCCATTTAGCCAAAGATTTTCTTTTCATTAGCAATATCCCAATTCAATTTCATCACAGAAGCTCTATTCCATGAAACTAAGTTCTTAATTCTCAGCCCACCTCCTTTTTTAGACTCAAAAGTACCACTCCACATAAAATTTCTACAAATAGCTTGAATTCTTTTTATGACTTGAGTAGGGAAAATAAAAATTCTGGCCCAAAAAGTAATTATCCCCATCAAGACAGTTTTGATAAGATTGACCCTACCATCATACAAAAGGTGTTTTGAGCTGGAGCCAGTAATCTTAGCTGTAATTTCATCCACCAATGAATCACAATCTGCTACACTAATCCTACCGGCAGTAATGGGATTGCCGAAGTAGGCAAAAGGTAGCCTACCTTCTTTCATGTAAGTCAACCCAAGCAAATTCTGTCTCTCATGCATGATTCCTGCAAGCACAATATGGACCTTCATCAGCTCTGCACATGACTATAATATCATCAGCAAAATTAATGCAGTAGTTAACATACATCATACTTTAAATTAGTTATTTTGCTAATAGCTGCAATCAAAAGGTTTAAAAAAGTGGAGCACCACTGGTAAATTTGGAGACGAGAGGTAAATATGTGGACTAATTTGCAATTTAACATGTTACTAATAGTAATTCATATGATTTGTATATATTTTTTTTGATATTGAAAAGGAAGATATATAGATGAAAAGACTAAACACTTGGAAAGCTAGAGTACAACACAAACATATCCATTCCTACAAAACCAGAAGAAAAACATGATGTAGAGTATTCATTAAAGCCAAAAGGAATGAAAAGAGCATTTAATATCATGTACATCTTATGCAACTTGTTCATCCTTTACTATGTAGATATTTAACCCTATGATTCTTTCAGGTCAATGTTAAAAAGATTTTGATCTAATAACGTAAATCATTCATAAGAAAGCTCATTAAGCTCAGATGTAGTTAAAGTGCAGCCCTGGCATTCGGGTGTGTTTGATTTTTGCCACTTGACTTTTTTATCCAAAACTAAGAACAAATGTATTTTTAATATATGCTCCTAACATCTCAATTTATATTGTCTGTTTCGGTATACAGTGTTTGAAATTATTTTCAAATCATTTTATATGAAAAATAGTGTAGAACAAAAAAATAACAATTACATATTAAAATATTATATCAAAAAATCTAAAAAATTAGTGGTCATATGACTTTAATTTTATCAAATGATTGCCGAAAGAAGAGATAATAAGTAAAATGAAGTTAGATCCTGTGAAATGTGAATTGTAAATGAGCAATTTAACTTGGGACGAAGGAGGCGAATTCAAATTTTAAATTTAACACAAATTTTCATATAAGATGAGTTGAATAATATTTTAGTTACAAATATCGTGAATTAAAACAAGCAAAAAATATTTTTAAATGAATTTATATGAAAATTGAGGTATAATTAAAAAATTATATATTAAAAAATTACATCTCTAGTTTTTCAAAATAATAAGTGATATGGTGACATTATTTTATTAAATAGTTAACAAATTAGTAAAAAAGTGATTAAAATTTGATGGTATTATGGTGATGTCTTACAATTATAGATCTGGCTAATTTAACGTGAATATCATTATACTGCATAAGATGATATAGAACAGTGGAACTTGTTCATCCTTTAATTTTATATTTTGAAATTGCATTAAAAATGGTGAATGAAGGAGCCATGAGAACTAAAAGAATAATAAATATGTAATATTTGTTACTTTGAAAAATAATACTCATTAAACAAATGAAAGGTAATTAATGTACTTAATAAACACGTAAACTAAGTAATCAAACAAGTGTAAAAATAAATAAATTTGCCTGATGGTTTTAAAAAAATAAAATAAAAAAATTTAACATGGCACCACCAACATTCGGCTAGCCGGCTTTAAACAAGTATTACATAAAATTTAAAAAAATTCATCCGGCGGCAGCGGTGGTGATCTGCTTATGGCTTTGCGGATGACTTTCCTAAGCAAATCGCCACAAAGCCATCAGCGAATCTCCACCGCCACCGTCGGGTGATTTTTTTTTTTAAATTTTATGTACTACTTGTTTAAAGCCGGATAACCGGAAGTTGGTGGTGCCGGGTGAATTTTTATTTATTTTATTTTTTAAAGCCATCAGCCAAATCTTGTTTATTTTTACACTTGTTTGATCACTTAGTTTACGTGTTTACTAAGTACATTAATTACTTTTACTTGTTTAATGAGTGTTATTTTTCAAAGTAACAAATATTCCATATTTATTGTTTTTTAGTTTCCTTGGCTTTTTCATTCACCATTTTTAATGCAATCTCAAAATGTAAAATTAAAGGTTGAACACTTTTCATTATTCTATACCATCTTAAGCGGTATAATGCTATTCACGTTAAATTAGCTATATCTACAATTGTTTTATGACATCACCATAATACCTTCAAATTTTAATCATTTTTTTACTAATTTGTTACCCATTTAATAAAATAATATCACCATATCACTTATTATTTTGCCAAACTTGGGATGTAGGTTTTTGATATATAGTAAATTTTTTAAATAGACCTCAATTTTCATATAAATTCATTTAAAAATATTTTTTGCTTGTTCCGTTTCATGATATTTTTAACTAAAATATTATTCAACTCATCTTATATGAAAATTAGTGTTAAATTTAAGAGTTAAACTCACACACTCTCCGCCCAAGTTAAATTGCATTGCCCGTTTACAATTCAAAGGATCAAACTTCATTTTATTTATTATCTCTTCTTTCGGCAATCATTTGATAAAATTAAATAGTCATATCGCCACTAATTTTGTAGATCTTTTGATATAATATTTTAATATGTAATTATTATTTTTTGGTTCTACACTATTTTTCATATAAAATGATTTGAAAATAATTTAAAAACACCGTAAATCGAAACAGAAAATAAAAATTGAGACTTTCAGAGTATATATTAAAAATACATATGTTCATGGTTTTGGGTAAAAATCAAGGTGCAAAAATCAAACTCAACCCAATGCCACAAGGGCTGCACTTTAATTACATATGAGCTTAATGAGTTATTGTTACGCTTTCTTATGAATGATTTACGTTATATCAAAATCTTATCAACATTGCACCCACAA